GTTATAATAAGCTCTAATTAGATTAGAAAAGTAAAAGTAATATAACCTAATAATAAGGAATAGGTTATTATAATTTAAGTAGTAATAAAAGGCTAAAAATTACCTTATATTTTTATATAAAATAAGTACTTATCTTTAATTAGTATATTAATATAAGCTTAAATAACTAAATAATAAATAAAATTAATATAGATTAGATATAATACTTTTTATAAATTATATAAAAGATTAAATAAGAGTACTTATTACCTCTTTATCTTAAATAGCTATAAAGTTATTACTTAATTATATTTAAGTTTTCTTACTTAAGAAAATAAGATTATTACCTATATACTTACTTATTCTTCTTATATATTATAGTCTTTAAATATTAGTTATTTTAGTTTATTTAAAAAGACTTATAGGTAATAAATTAAAGATTTTATAAAGGCTAGTACTATATATATTATAAAAGAAGATTTCTTCTTTATATTTTTTAATACTTTTAATAAGTTTATTATAAAAAAAAATATCTAAGGTAGTTTTTAAGGTATTAAAATTATACCTTTTAATCTTAAAAAGGTTATTTTTACCTTAGAACTTAAGTTTATAATACTAAGTCCTCTAAACTTATATCTAGGTTTAGCTAGTTCTTAAGTCTCTTAAATACTAAGTACTATAACTAAAATAGTTTTATAGTCTTTAATTCTAAAAAAGTAAATTACTAATTACCTAAATAGCTCTTTAACTAAAAGTCTTAATATACTTAATAAATTTAAAAAAGATATAATAACTATTATATATAAGTATAACGATGGCTTAATCCTAATCCATAGTTAGTCTATTTCTAAGGTAGTGAGTTAGGTTTAAATGCTATAAGATAGTAATAAGCAGTATCTCTAGCGTAAGGTCTCGTTAAGAGTAGAACTCTTAATAGTAAAACTATTACTTAGATTAATTAGTAGAGATCTAAATTACCTAGCTATAGAAATACCTCCTCCTTAAGTACCTATCTATCTCTCTACTATAGACCTAGCTTATAAGGCTTATCTAACTATCCTAATAATCTTA